CACACACACACACACACACATCTCCATCCCTCAGGGTTATTTTTTTATTAATGCTTTTCTTTCTTCTCAAGTAACTCATGATTACTGCTGGGTTTCACGGCACATGTGTGTCCCTTTGCCTGCCCACGTTTGCAGAACCCCGCCCTAGAAACTGCTTCTGCCCCCAGCGCTGGGAAAGAGGCACCCCCCCCCCCCCCCCGGGGCAGCCCCCATTCCAGCTCCAGAGTGAAGGGGGGGCAGGGATCCCCTGGAATATTGGAGTCTTCATGTTCTGTTGGAGAAGTGCTTCCTCAGATGGGCCAGGACTGCGTATTCCCTACTGCAGTGTTTTCAATTGGCAGTTTTAAGAACTTGCACTCTTCTCCATTTTTATTTTTTTTTCCAGTGGAGAATCAGTTCACCTTCACTGGATGAGTTTATCTACTGTAGTATATTATGGCTGCATATCAGTAGTTACGAGGTGAAGAATAATTCTTAATGCTGCAAATTATCTTTTTCTTAAAAGCTTTCCTTGATTGTCACAGACTTAAAAGGGCTTCATGACTTTAGCTTGCAAAGTTTAAATTCTAAAATCAAATGTTTGTATATATGATGGAAAAGTTTATTTAAAGGTTCAGATATGATCATTTTAAGGCACAGAACCGTCCAATTTTAAGAAAACCTGTTTGTATAAATATGCAAACATTTGGATAAATTATGTATTCTCTGCCACCAGCACCTCAGGTCAGGATTGGCAAGATCCCATCATCTTAAAATGTTTTAAAAATACTTTTGTTTAAGAAGTGGCTCTGCATAAAAATTATTTTGCTGTTTTTTATAATGGTACCCAGTTGTAATAAAGACATTTTATGTGATTGTAGTAAATGGCCTTGTAAAATCCCGTTTTTATTGGAATAAAATGTGATGAGCGTGCCCTTTCCAGGTTCTTGGGCTGGTATTTATAATCACGGCTCCATCCCCAGCTGTGGCCTCTGCTTCCCACGCGTCAGGGCACTCCGTGGAGGGCCGGCCATGTGCAGACAAGCAGCGCCCGGGCCCCTTAAAAACAGGGCACGCCAATGGGGGTCCCATCTGCAGAGCGGGAGCCCGGAAGTCTATGTGAGAGAGGGAAATTCTGTGGGGGCACGATAATGACACGAAGGGCCCTTGGGCGGTGAGCGAGTGGGTCGCCTCATGCAGAGAGCACGGCAGGGCAAGCCAGGAGGAAATGCACGGGTCAAGAGAGCCAGCTCATGGAGCGAGCTGGAGGGTGGGGGTCCCGAAAGGAGTGAGAGAAGGACAGGATGGACCCCGCACCCGCCCGCCCTCACCAGGCTGCTCTTTTCTCCCACTCAAGTCCTCTCTCTAGAAATGCCCAGTTAGTGGCAGCCTTCACCGTGGGGCACCAGGTGGCGCTGCTGGCTGGCAAAGTCCTGCAGCCCCGCCTCCCCCACTGCTGCCCTGTTAAAACTTCACCCCACCTCCTCAGACACGGTGGGGACCCGGCAAACGCACGCAGGCTCGTTTCTGCGGCCCTTGGGAAAACAACGGTAGAGAAGGCTCTCTGCTTTCAGAATGCAATTAGCCCACCTCTAGACTTGGTTGGGTGGAGCAGTCGGCGCAAAGGCTACCAGCCTTGCTTGCTACTAAGTGCCTGGGAGCTGGAGCTGGAGCTGGCGAGGACCCCCACCGCCACCCTGCCTAGAGTTCTTGAGGGGGCCGTGCAAGCAGGAGGGAAGAGGACGGCAGCGGGAGCAGGAAGGGCGGGTTGGGTTGAAGCGTGCTGGGGGCTCGTTTGCAAAGGGATGATGGCGGTCCAAGTCAGGACATCTGCTGTCTGAACCAGGTCACTAAACCCTGAAACCCAACAGACACCGGCCATGAAAGCCTTCCCCAGCAGACCACAATCCACGCTCTTTGAAAAGCCACTGCGGCAAGAGGGAGGAGGCCAGGACAAGAACCACGGGCTGCCGTGCGATTGCGTAGCCCTGCGGGAGAAGCCGGGCTTGGGTCACCTCGCCCGAGCCTCTTCAGGGAAGCCACGGGCACCCAGCCCTGACTTGGCTTACTGCGAATGGCGGCTCTTGAGGCAGATGCAACGTTAACATTAACGTAATCGGGTATCTAGGTTTATCTACAGTCACCCAATCCAATCGTTTGGGGCAACATCCGGTAGGACCCAACGGTGAGGCAGAGAGACCTCCCGGACCCTGTCTGGCCAGAAGAGCCGAGGCTGCTCCGCTCGCAAGAGCTAAGGGGAGCATCTGGGCCCAGAGGGGAAAGGGGGACGGGGACGGATTTTAGAAAACGCCAAGCATCGGGGCGGGAGGAGGTGTAGAAGTGAGTCCAGTCCCCTGGGGCCGAGCTGCAGAGGCCCGGCCCCTGACACGGATTTCTTTTTTTCTTCCTCCACTTGCTGGCTTGTTAACTTACCCCACCAACTCCCCCATCCCTGGGAGGCTAACGCCCAAGTAGCCCTCAAGGGCAGCGGGGCCTTTCCGGGAGCACAGGGCCCCAAGGGAACCCAACGGCTTCTGAGGCATCGCCGCCTGCCTTGTCCCGCCCGGCTGCTTGGCGCCTCGGGGGTCGGGCCGTCCTCAGAGCCTCCTGCCTGGCCAGGATGGAGATGGATGACGG